CGTTGTAATTCCGCAGACGTACCGCTCTGCCACTAGGGGGCGTTACTTAAAGTAGTTTCCTTTTACTTCTGTGTAATGCGATAATTCATATGTGAGACACTCTTGAATAACCATTTGCTTCGTCTTTGTTCCTTAGTTCACAAAATCAATGATGCCTTTCTGTTCCGATCCTAAAAAATCTCCACGTAGATATTATTTATCTTCTAACATCTAAAATTTATTGTCTTTTGTTTTCTTACGTACTCTTAATTTTACGTAATTTTTTTCTAATCTCCTCGAACAGTAATTAATTTCTAATTATTTTGTCCAAACAGTATACACTGGATGCGGCGACAAGCTTGCAAGAATATTTGAAGCCAAATCAGGCACGTTAAGGAGAATATTTCGTGGTCACGCTCACGCCATTATGTGTATGGAGGTTAGTGATAGGAATTTTGTGTGTTCTAATTAAACATATAACGTCTATTTTCTTTCTGTAGCCATAACTGAAATTAATATTGTTGAAATCATAGTTTTAATTAATTGAATAGAATTGTTTAAACATTTGTTTAACAACAAGTAAAAGCTTGGAATGGTCAATTCTTTCATTGGGGGTGTGTCTGTGAGCCAGACTAGTGTCGGAAAATTCCACTCCTCATCAGTGACCCTGGACACTACCAACAATGAAATATCAGACCAAACCAAACCTTTATAGTAGTGAGGTATCGAAATGGTGTATTTAAGTGTTTTACACTCGCAAAAAAGAAACCTATCATTCTAGACCATTCCAAGCTTTTACTTGTTGTTAAACAAATGTTTAAACAACTCTATTCAATTATGTACAAGCTGCGCAGTGTCGGCTAACAATACGAAGAATGCTACAAGTTCTTCAAATACCTATAGAATGTAAAACACTTAAATACACCATTTCGAGTTTTAATTGATGTTTACAATTATACCTACAATAAAACATTAATAATATTAGGCTTAATTATTGTTAAAATAATAGTTTCAATTAATGTTAACAATCTTACCTACAATAAAACATTAATATTAGGCCTAATTATTGTTAAAATAATAGTTTCAATTAACGTTTACAATGATACCTGCAATAAAACATTAATATTAGGCCTAATTATTGTTAAAATAATAGTTTCAATTAATGTTTACAACGATACCTGCCATAAAACGTTAATATTAGGCCTATTAAAATTTTAAACACTACATTCGTTATTTAACTAGTTCCTATGGATTTTTAAGGACAAGAAGATCTTTGGATTGAGAGAAATATGTCGTCGGCAATGGATGTGACAAGTATAGTGTTGTTGGAATAATATTATACACTGTTCTAATTCGTGAAAATCCATGGAAAAAGAATGTAGTGTACAAAATTTAAAAGCCTAATAATTGTAATAATTCTTCGCCAGCTTGTAAAACATTGTTGTTTAATTAAAGTTTATGTGATTAGACTGTGAAGTTTATAAATAATTCAATTCGTGCACATTTCAAGTACATTTCATGTACTTCAGTCTCATAGATTAAGTTGAACAATAACTTAAAATAAGGACAACATTATCCAAAAGCTACTAATAGCGTAGTTGCCTGAAAATATACTTTTTCTGCGTATCGTAGAGTCCGAGACTCGAGACGTGATACTGCTGAAAAAATCCATTGATTATACTTTGAAAACAAATTGGAATATACATATATATAAGTTATAAAGGTAACCAATTTCTATACATAGTTTTTAACTTTAGTTCCTACAATTTATCAATAACGATGTACATTTTTAACTTTAGTTCCTACAGTTTATCAATAAAAATGTACATTTTTAACTTTAGTTCCTACAGTTTATCATTAACGATGTACATTTTTAACTTTAGTTCCTACAGTTTATCAATAACGATGTACATTTTTAACTTTAGTTCCTACAGTTTATCATTAACGATGTACATTTTTAACTGTAGGCACTGAAGTGAAAGAGTTCTTTGTATTAAAATGAATTTTTGTGGTCAGTTTTCCAGCCATTCCATATGAGAAGTAAGCCTTATTTTTGGTGATTGTCTCGAGCTTAATAAAATTAAAAATTAAAATAATAAAAATTCAGTATCTCTAAGTGACGTCACGGAGTACATTCCCGAGTTCGAGTTTTAATGTGTCCACTCTGACAGTTTGGCGCTTCTGTAGTTAAGAATTTCCTAAATACGTCACGTGGGAACACTTTGGGAAAGTCGACTTGGTAAAAAAAAAATCCTAATATTCTTGAATTTGAATGAATTCTGTTTTCTTACATTATCGGTGACGGTTACGTTATCGGTCAATTATTACATGATCGGTTGTTCACTAGATAGTTTGATATAAAAACTTGTCAGTATTGTCATATCTTCGCCTATACTCTCCAGTTTATCTACAGTGTCAGGTAAGCTTAAGAAAAGTTTGTTCCTTCAAAATTTACACGTGATAACAGATGTAGTATCGGTGTTAATAAACGTGTGGATATTTTCAATACAAGCAAATTGCAACATATTTTATCTGTTCTGAGTATGAATACATAGTAACACATGAACTAAGTAGCTACGTCAGAGATTCAGGCATAGCTATCCCTAATTTATAACTATTAGCCAGGGAGTAGCATGGAGTCAGGAGCACCCGCCGCATATGCGGCTACTCATAACCAAATAATCGTATTGACTGTTACAGTGAAAACGCTTTTCACAAATGAATGTGTTCAAAGGTATATCGCGACTCGAACCTTAAACCTTCTGATCCGTAGCGGGACACGTTAACCGTTAGGTTAAGTTCAGCTACAAAGCGGTCAAATATCACGAAGTTTTTAAACGTAGCTTTCTCGTGAATCTCACAAAATAATTAAATGACATTTTTTTTTCAGTTATTTAAATAAACATCAAGACGGTGCGATCACAAATGTTTCCTTGTTATGTACTTAACAACCAATTCATGTTTGTAAGTTTTACAGTGGATAATAGCGAACAGATGTATTTTGGCAGGTGGTAAAGTGTAAGCTTTTTACGGGATCCTACGATGGGACAATACGAGTGTGGGACACCACCGGAGTGACCGACGAGACTGTTTTTGGAGCTGGTGTCAATGAAATAGATACAAAAGAGGTTGAAGACGACAGTGAGGAAATTCGAAAAGCTATGAAGTCTTTGGATCCGTATATACGTTAGTACAAGTACAGATCGATAATTTCTGTTTAATAAACTTTCTATTTGTCTCAGAGTTTATACAGTTAAAAGTTTGGGTAAATATTGTTACGTCTCTGGTCGTTTGTTAATTCCCCGTATAATTTCTTTCCGATGAAACTTTAGCGATACAGGTCCTTTCTTAAATAAAACTAGTTTATTTTCTCCTGGATACAACTTTGCAATACACTTAATTTCCATAGTCACTTTAAACACACGCTATAATTCACAATGATTCACGCACTTACTTACGTAAGTACTTACGGTCACTACCGCGCTTGACTCAATTGTCCGTTTTTATCTCTGCCTGTCTGCAATTCAATTCCGATTAATTTGTCTCACGTCATCCGGCGCACTTATATACAGGAATAGAGGGCGCCTAGCACATACTGGATTATTCGTGATGTTCCCCGATCCTTCTAGAATATCATGACGTGTTACCAGCGTCACGTGACTACCGCTGTCGTAACAATATATTAAAAAAACTAAACGAAAGTTTTACAATTAACAAGACCAAACTTAACGTTCGTTATTCTCGTATTACGCCATTTTCTACAAACCGGTTTATTGTATTTGTTGTTATTGAAATTTAATTGCTACATGAAAAAAAAGGCCCGACATGGCCAGGTGGTTACGGCGCTCGACTCGTAATCTGAGG